AGGAAGGGGCAGCTGTTTCATTTGACAGTAATAGTGTAGAGTCCCTTGTTGGTGGAGAGATGAAAGACAGGGAAATGAATTAGGAAGCAGCTATGCTAGTCCAGGAACAATGACCATGAAGGCATCAGGAGGAGAGAAGGGCTGAAAATCCTCTGGGGGACTAGCACTGGCAAGCCTCTGAGCCTCCCTGCCCCCCCTTCCCCCCCCGCTTCTCTTTGTGGCTTTCTCATTGGAGTTCGCTGAGGCATACAGCACTAGCTCATCTTCCCCACTGGTCTTTTTGGATGGGCTTTCATGGGGATTTGCTCTTGTGTGTGCATTTGGCTGCAGGCATACTTTTTCTCTGTTTGTTTCCTTTCTGACACAGGAGAAAAATACTGTTGCTAAGTGGAGAGACTGAATCCATGTGCCTGGAACAATGAAACTTTCCTAGGCAGGCATCATCCTGGGAGCACCCTGTAAACTTATCAAGGACTGAACAAAATCTCAGAGCGAAGAGTTAACTGCAGTGCTCTTTGTTCCATTTCATGTCGCTTTACAACCACTTTTAGTTACTGGAGTAGGGGGCTTTGAGACTTGACTATAAACAGCCCTTGTGAAATTTGAAGTTCGCTTTACCAGGGAAGACGAATTGTGTACCAGGGACTCGATGTCCATTATCACTAATACAGCAGGTGTGTTTACTCTCAGTTTACAAATATAGAAACTGAGGGTTCTAAAGGTTAAGTTACTTGCCAGCAACGGCTAATAAGAGCTGACACAGGGCTCTCTCCTGCCCGGTCTGTCTGTTCCTTCTTCCGGGCCACCTCCCTCTTAGCATCCCTCCATCTCTTCAGCACTCCTCTCCTGCGGGTGTTGGTCCTGGCACCTCATCTCAACTTCCAAAACAGTGTAGTGATCTGGAAAGTAAAAGACCAGCTCTGCCACACACTAGTTTTTTGATCTTGGGCAAGTCACTTAAGTTCTGTTCTTGGTTTCCTCCCGAGTGAAATGAGAGGGTTTTACTGAATGACCCTCTTCCTGCTCTAACGTCCTATGACTCATACTATTGCATACAGAAAACTAATGAGGAACAGTCTTTGCTGCCATTTCTCCCCTGCCCTCTTTACACATTCCTCTTCTTCCTCCCACGCTCATAAGATATGTACGTTAGACACTGGGAGAGAGCCGTGGACCAGAGGTGGTGTCGTGTGACCCTGCAGTCTTACTGTGTTTCCCAGGGTAGTCTTCCCTACTGTTCCCCACCTAACCTTCTATAAATATTTGCCGAGTGCCTGCCATGTCTCCCAAATCTCCAATTCCACCATCTCTCCTTGCTCTCGGCGGGTGACTTTGGCATCACAGAGCATGAACTCCGTCAACTTCCTGCCAGGTCACAGGTATTGTGTCCGGAGGGCTGTGTTGTTGCCTTGACCATCCACAGCTGTGCTCATGCCGTCTTCAGCCTGGAGTGCCTGCCACCCCCATCTTGACCCACACCTCACTTTCACTCACCCGACCCCATATCTGGCTGCAGAAAATCTAGTCATCTTTCGACAACCTTCTCAAGGATCAGCATACCCAATTAATTAATCAGCTGTGGAGTCAAATCCCTTCTCTCCTACTGCCTAGCCAGAATCTCAGGTAAATTTTGTAATCTTGCTAATCTTCATTTCCCTGATCTGTAAATTGGGCAGAAAAGCACCTATCTTTCAGGTTCGATATAAGACTTACATGAAAAAATGTATGCAGCAAGGTTTAGCAGAATGCAGATGCTGAATTAACGCCTCACTTATTAAAAACAGCCATTTCTGGTGTCTAGAGCTTGCCTTATCAGGACTCTGGTTGGTAAGAGTATCTTTTAACTGCTCTGGGAAATTCGATCTGCAATAAAATTCAATCTTCCAGAGACTCCCCGGTGTTATCCTTTATTTCAAGTCGTTCATTTAGCAAACATTTACTGAGAACTTACTATTAGCCAGGGACTGTGCTAGATGCTGGCAATGTAAAGATTAGAGGATGCCCTCTGGGAACTTAGAGCCTAGTGGAGAAGCCAACTTCCTCCAGAAGCTTTTCCTCCCTGCCCCAGGCTGGGTAGAAAGCTCTGCTCTAACTGCCTGGCTCAGTTACTGCTCTCCACCCTGTACTTACCACATTCCTTTGCCTTTTTATTTCTAACCTGTGCTGGACCCTGTTCTAAGTAAATTTATTAATTCATTTATTCCTCACGACAACCTTCTGAGGTCAGTACCGTCATTATTCCCATTTAACGGATGAGGAAATTGAAACATAGAGCTACTAAGTAACTTGCTTAGGGCCTTATAAACTTAAGAGGAGCGAGGATTTGTAAATACAATTCTGGGCCCAGCGTTAAATATTCTGTTTATTATGTCTCCCCCACTGAAATTTGAGATTGAGCCTGTGCCAACTCCAAACGAATGTCTCCTGTGCCCACCACCATATCTGACACCACAGGTAATCAATAATTTATTCATCAAATGAAAGAAAGAAAAGAAGCAAAGAAGGAAAAGGAAAGCTGAAAGAAGCAAAAAATAAATAAATAAATAAATAAAAGAAAGAAAGAAAGAAAAAAGAAAGAAGCACGTAAGTAAACGATTCCACCGCGGATTGGTTACGAACATTTACTAAGCATCGGCACTGAGCAAGTGCCTGAGATGTGCGGAGGGAGCTCAAGAATAAATTACCACCTCTGCTCACGCAGAACTTTCAGTCACTGGTGTCAGTCGTGTCAGGAATTCCGAGGAGAAATTGCGTTTTCCCGGCCGCCTGGCGTTCCCCGCCCCGCTCCCTTCCCCTGGAGTCCTGCTCCATCTCTTCCCTCGCCTTCGCCATCCCCTCCGTGGATTCCGCCGCCCTTGGTTTCGCGCGCGCCAGGCTCAGGAAGCGGATTAGCGCGTGGGAGCGACCGGCGGCGCGCGCATGCGCACTGGGGGCGGCGCACTGCGCATGCGGGAAGATGGCGGGCACCGCGTCCTGAGAGTCGTGGGTCAGCCCGCTCTCCGCCCGCCTGCGTTATACCTTCCGGGCCCGCGGGGCAGCGGCGCGTGTGTCCGCGGTCCGGCCTAGCCAGGTGCACCGGCGGGCAGGCCGCGAGCCCGGTTCGTGCTCGGCTCCGAGACCCGGCGTGTCGAGAGCGGCATCCGACCCGAGCAGGAGAAGGCGGGAGAGCTCCGGGGGTGCGAGGGCCAGGGGCGGCCGGCTGGGCAGCATGAGTCAGCAGCGGCCAGCGCGGAAACTGCCCAGCCTGCTCGTGGACCCGGCAGAGGAGACGGTGCGTCGCCGGTGCCGAGACCCCATCAACGTGGAGAGCCTGCTGGTAAGTCCCGCGGACGGCCTGGGTCCTGGGCGCCGGGGGCCTGGCGCGGCGTGGGGCGGGGCGGGTCCGGTGCTGTCCGATCGGGTCGCGTCGCAGGCCCCGCCTCCTCTTCCCCTCCGAGGGGAAGCCGGACTGAGTGTCTTCGGGGTCGGGAGCTCCCCCCGGCTGGGCCGTCGCCGCTTCTCCGTCTCCTCTGCTCTGGCAGTGCCCGTTACGGACTGTGAGCCAAACGCGCCATTCGTTTAAACTCTTGGCTTCGTGCAACATGGACTTTTTAAATGTGTCGTCAGCCCTCCTGGCTTTTACGTTGCGGCTACGGAGCACTGTTGGAGAAAATTGCTCAACTTTGCGTTAGAAAATCTTGTTTTCCTCCCTCCACTCACGGTCAGAATACTCTGCAAGCTCTCATTTTCCCCTTCGGCCTCCTTTCCCGTTCTCCTACTTAACGCAGCCATTCAAAGGCTCGTCCACTCCTCACATTTCCCACCCGACAGCTCCCCATTCAGCAAATTGTCTTCGTCCTGTTCGACAGAGAAATAGAAGAAAGATTGGGCTCCCTTCCTGCAGAGGTTAATTTCCTCTATTTTTGCCCCAGATTAGATGCAATATATTCTTCTTGGTTCTCAGGGCCGCTGATGAATCCATCATTTTCCATTTCTCTCCATATTTTCAACCGTCCTGCTGGTTTCTTCCCATGACTAGTAACTAGACATTTACTGAAGTCAGTATGCCCAGTTCCCTTGGGGACTCAGTGCTCAAAAATAGTTAATGACATTATCACATTTAATTCACAGCAGTCCTAAGATGATTATTCTTTCACAGTTGCCAAAACACACTTGGAAATATTAAGCGGCTTGCCCATGGTTAGACAAGACATAGAAAAGACTGGGTTTAACCTCACAGTGTCTTGACTCCAGATGATAAATTCTCGACTGCTTAAACCACATCCTAAATCCATCCCCATCTTAAAATATCCCTCCTGTAATTCCTAATGTCCTTCCATCTACTTACCTCATGTCTTCCCCTTCACAGCCAAACTTTTAAAAAATCGTTTGCATCTACAGTGCCCGCTTACTCCCCTCTCATTATCACCTTACTCCACCTTGACCCCTGCCCTCAGCACAGCTCCAAGACTGTTCTAACGAACTTGCCAACAACGTTGCCGGTTCCAGCGATGTTTCACTCCTTATCTCTGTGGTTCTGATGTGGTCGACTGCTTGCTTTTGTTGGAAACTCTGGATGTTGAATGGCTTCTCTAACACCACACTCCTGGTGCTCTATCTACTCCTCCAGCCTCTTCTCTGCTCCTTTGCAAACTCTTCTTCCTCTTCTCATTCCTTACATGCTGCTGTTCAGGATTCTCTTTTACCTTTTATACACATTTTTCATGTGGGATGGCATTCGCCACCACTCTCCTGACTACCGTTACCATCTATATCGGTGGTCTTAATCTTTGAAAATTTGAGAAAAGCTGGGAACCTTCACTATGAAAAAGCCACTTAATTTTGCATTTACTGTCGGAAGGTACACACATCCCTTGAAGTCTTAAATATTCATATCCATTGTAGTTGTTTCAGTTACTACGTTATAATATAACTCCCAAATCTATGAATCCAACTCAGAGCTTTCCAACTGTCTACTAGATATCTCTGCTTAAATTTGAAACTCAAAATTCAATTCATTTACCTTCTTGCCTCGGCCAGCAACAGCTTTGCTATCTCCTATGTTAATAAATGGTAACACACTCACCATTTTGCCCAAGCTCCTATCCTAAGCATTATCCTTGCCTTTTCTCTTTTCCAAACCGACACCCTCCATCTTCCCAATCTGAATAATATTAATCACCAGTACTTGCCACTTCTAACCATCTATTTTTCAGATTGTTGCAGTGTCTTCCTAACCAGTTTTCCTGCTTCTGGTTTTGCTCCCTTACTTTTCTGTGTATTCTCCACATAGTAACTAATCATAATGGTCTTTTTAAAGCATATTTATGATCGTGTCATTTGGCTTAAAGAATCTATTGTGGTTCCCTAGTGCTCTCAGGACAGATTCGAAACTTCTTAATCAAGCCCCGGGTTTATCTTTCCTGAACTGCTTATAGTTGCTCAGTTTTTCATATTTCCATATTTTTTTGGAACCTGACATAGCCACATTCCCCCTTCCAAAGAAGCCTTTTTTAAAAAAACATCCCCTGGTTCTTCAGGTTTAGAGATATGGATCACTTGCCTGAAGCCCTCCCTAATCTTTCAGCACTGGGTTAGCCACTCCCTTTCTGCTCCCAGAGTATCCTGTGCTTACCTACCCACTCTTTGCAATGTGGCTCTTAGGTCCCCGAGTGCAGTGACTCTGTCCATTTCATTGTTACATCCCCAGCCCACTTGGCACCTCTCATAAAAAGTCATTGAATGAATGAAATAGGTACTCTGTAAATATTTGAATATTTATTTTCTTGCTATAAAATGGTGATTCATACACCTATCTCATTGTTTTTTAGTTGGCTGATTAGGAGTACTTAATAATTAAATACATACAAGTGTATTGCTTTGCAAAGATTAGTTATGTATCTGGCTGAGTGATCTCTGAGTAAATAGCTTGAAAAATGTAGAATTTTGAGAAGGGAGAAGATAATATGGTTGAAGGTGGAACTTAGTCTGCACATTGACAAATAAAGAACATTTAAAAATGAAGAGAATGTAGTCACCTTGGAGAAAAGTATATTTTCAAAGGGCTCTTCAAGGGATGTTATTCCCCAGAACAGGCACTCGGTACAGAGACATCTGTATAGAGAAATTTTTAACCAATTTAGAGGCAGTGCTTAAGATTTTACTCCCTAAAATTCACCTGTATTACACCGTTTACTCTCATCTTTGGGATCTCAGGCTTAGAAGTACAGGCCTTGGGAGGTGGGACTTGGGGCAGCAGTGGAGCAGCCTGGCCTGTGCCGCCTCAGGAGCCGCTGAGTCCTGGTGCGTCGTGTGCACTGAGCTCGCCCTTAGTGGTTTTCAGTGCAGACCCCGCTGCCTTCTCCCCTGGCTTCCCAGCTGAGATCCACACAGGCTGCATGATAACTCTGAGCAAACAGGTGGGCGATTCGAGGACTGAAAGGGGAAGTTTCTTAGGTCGTCCAGTATGAGGTTCAATCATCTGCAGGGCATCCCTCACAGAAATCATACGAGTAACCTCTCAGTTGGACTCTTAAAAGACTAGAAGCATTGTCGCCGCCCCCACCCCACAGTGGTGGCTTACCAGAACCAGAAGCGGCAGCATCTCTGCTGGCACCTGGGCAGGTTCGTCGCATAGAAATTTGAGGGAGCATTCTTCTGAGGACTCCTTCCTAAAGATGCCGAAAAAGCCAGAAATATGTGTCCCGTGTAGGAGCCACTTTGAAAAGGCCTTATCTGGGACAATTTGAGCCTCAGAATAACAGGTTTTGACTTCACTGACTAGAATGAGAATCCAGGCTGTCGGCACAGCTCCTCGGGTGCAGGGTGACACCAGCGACACAAGGTACCTGACCCCACCCTCCGACACAGCACACACCGGGGACAGACGTCGGAAGGCGGCTGCGCCGCACGTTCCCGCTGGCAGGGGAGGGAGGTGGGAGTCCCAGGGCAGCAGCCGGTCCACAGCGCTTCTGAAATGCAGGCCGCTCAGCGTGGGGCTCTGCCGAACATGCGTCAAGGCCTGGGGCTGACTCCTCGCCCAGCTCTGCCCCTGGCCTCTCGGTTTTAACCGTCTGGGTCTTCCTTTCTTTTTCGCGACAGGAGATACCGAGTTGTAGCTGAGTCCTTTTTTTCAGCCTGCTTCCTGTCAGTAGAATTTTGGGTATCCAGTTTTAATGTGAACTGTTTCTGTCCCTTTTAGTCCAAGCTGGCAGTGTTCTCGCTGACAGTTCTCGCGGAAACTGTGTTGGATTCGCTCCTGTGAATCTTGTTGTGGTTCACTCAGTACACGAGAGGCCCACGCACAGGTTCTTCATGGTAAACCCGTCTGTCCCTGGGCTCCTGTTGGGATGGCGGAGGGACAGTGCCCGGAGGCTTCCTAGATCTGTCGGGCTCATCCTTATCCTCTTTCAGAGGCCTTTTGTGTGACCGAATAGTACTCCGAGGTGCCATCTCTCATCTCCCTGAGGTGTTAGCCGGCCGTGCCCCCACCTTCATCTTGAGGCTGTGTTCTTCCGGCAGTGCCTTTGATTTGGTCTTTTTCCGAAGTCATTCAATTTCGGCTTCTGGAGAGGCTGAGAATTTTTAAAGCCACCAAGCCCTGGCTTTGTGTTTGCTTGTGTGTTTAAAAGCTCTTTCCTCAGTTTCTCCCTCTCACATTTTACTGTGAACTGCAGGAGAAGCCAGGTGCCACTGTCACCCCTTTGCATGGGATTCCGCTTAGTTAGACTCCCCGTCTATCGATGGCTTCTGCCGTCCACATAGCTGCAGTTGACAGTGTCGCTAAGTCCTCTATCTTACCAGAACCAGCTTCCCCCTCACTCCTGGTTCTGATAACATGTTCCTTTGAACCCCTCGCTGTCAGCAAGTGTCCTCAAAGTCTGCATTTCTGCTGACAGTCTCTTTCAAGACCGCTTAGTCGCAAACAGACTGGTAATTGCATGTGGTTGTGTGAGGGGTACCCTCGAGGTACACGCTGAATCATTAGGGGTCCGCAGTTTACCCTCAGATGATTCAGGGAGAACAGCATTCACGTGTACAGTACTATTTCTGCACCTTTTCTGAAGACGGAGATCGTTTAAAAGAAAAAATGGATGTCCTCAAAGGAGCTCAGGTATCCGTCTCTGGCTTCTGTTGTTCCTCAGCGCCAGTGGGGGCCCCACTCCACCCCGTGTCTGGTCTGGGCAAGGGGCCATACGGAGGTGGCAGCCCGGTCATTCTCCCTCCAGGATGAGGGGGCGAGGCACATGGCTCTGATCTGAGGGGCCTGAGTGACTTGGGGCCAAGTGCACGGTGGCTTTTCATGTACTCTTCTTTTGTTTTTAATAGCTCGCTGCCTTTTGTATGAGGAAACCTTTATTTTGATTTTAAAGTCCCATCTAGCCCCATCTGCTCCTGAAGAGCTCCTAGCCTACCTGCTGAATGCAGGTCACCAGAGTTCCAGTAGCTGAGAAGGCTGGCCGGGGTAGTAGGGCCGGGTCTCCTCAGGCGATGAGTGTTTATTAGGAAGCAGAAAGCAGAAAGCGAGGCTTTGTGATCTTGCAGTTCACTACGGTGTGCCCAAGAGGGAGTCTTCACACTGTGTCCTTGTGTCTGTCACAACTCATTGTTTCATAGTGCTAAGTTCTTCATCAGTTAAAGTCACCTATGACAAGGGACTATTTCAGTCTCTGTACAGAGTTTAACAAGTATTTACCAAGTGCCTGAATGTGCCAGGCACTGTTCTGGTTCAGAAAGGAAAACAATAATATGTGCTTGCATAGGATTTTACAGTTTACAGGGTTTCTCCACTTCATAGTAGCTTGGAAAATGGGCAGTAAAGTTGTATCACTGCACCGCGTTGCAGACAAAGGTCGGCATCTCCCAGCATCTGGGAAGTCACGTCACTGGTCCCCCGAACCCAGTCTTGAACCAAGAGCTGCTTTGAAAATAAAGATGAATGCGTCATCACTGTGGGCACTTGGGAAATCTCCAGGATTGTAGACCTCCAGGGTTTATTCATATTGGGATGTCTATCCCTGAGGGGGCCGTGATGCCACTGTGATTCCACCAAGATAAAGAGAGAACTGTTTTTATATTCAAAGAAAAAAATGAATGGGTGTCGTTGCAGTCTGTTTTCCCCGCTCCTAGGTAGAGCCAGTACGTGGTGGGAAGGAAAGTCACACCTCCCCTGTTGTTATGCCTGACTGAGGTGTATCCCTGTGCCAGCCTGTGAATAGCAGCAGTGTAGATAAGGAGGCAGAAGGAGAGGCGTACAGAGCAGGAAAAGTGCGCTTCTAGAATACGCGGAGAGCAGATAGTGAGGCGGCCTCGTCGGAAGCCGTAAGTACTGTGACGTAGGACTGGGCCCTGCTGCGCTCAAGAACAGAAGTCTTTGCAGCAAGGCGCCCGTGAGCCCTGCTGTCTTAACCCCTTCTGCCGGTGTCCTCAGGACTGCACTGACAGTCGTGCACATTGACCCTGACCTTGAGGTAGTTGAGGTAGTATGCCACAGTTACCTGAGCACCAGATCACGGACCGACTGGGAAACTCATAAACGGACCTTAACGTATATAACAAGTCAGGGCATCTGTTTATGTGTGTTTCAAGTCATCGTGATGAGGATGGATTTTTTCCATTTAGGAATCTCGCTACAGTAGTTAGACTGTCTCATACTACATTGGCAGAAGGGTTAAATGTAAAAATGGCAGTGACAGTTGGTCATACTCTTCCCGTGTTTGACTTTAATGGGACTGCCCTTCAGGGTTTCATTGTGGGACACCATGTTTGAAAGTCACTGTTGTCAGCACTGTTTAAGAGAGCTAGCCAGACATAGTCCCTGCCCCCAGACAAGCATTTCCAGCTCTGATTTTGCACAGCCCAGCAGGTCTGTGTTTTCCTTTAAATTCTAACAACTAATTTTATGGAAGAATCTATTTCAGTGGAATTATTCCATATCAAGGAAACTTGCTAATAATCTGTCATCTTGTCATGGATGATAGGGAGGTCATTGTGCCAAGGATTTGTAACACTGATAAACAGCTCCTTAGCTACTCCTCTTGTCTGCAGGCTTCCCCATTCCCCGATCTCCTTGCTATATTTCTCCCTTACTCATATTCCTAAACCCTGAGCTTGAATGCGTTCAGAAATCTGTGATCAGTCTCCACTACTTATGACAGTCTAAACTTCTTGCGTGGCTTTCATGGTCCTCGACGTTGAGCGTGGTCGTAGCATGCCCCTGAAGCCTTGTCCCTCAGGGTCCAGCCGCGGGTCCCCTCCCTGGGAATCCCATGATGTCCCTCTCAGGGCACATCCATAGTAGTACTGTCAAGTCTCCTCGTAGAACACCTGATGAGATTCACTCGCCTCAGTTGTGCTAGAGCCATTTGGGGGCCGGATTTTTCACTTAGACCAGAGCTGAGCCTGGTCACAGCCTGTGTGGAGGCATCCGACCCCATTATGTTTCGTTCTAAGCATGAGGCTAATGTTGGTTTCTGTTTACACAGCTTTATCTAAAGGATTTATTTATTTTTTGCAAAAACAAATTTTAAGCATATTGCAAATGTTACCAGTTTATGTAAACTTTCTTAGCCTCTAAATAGCTGATGAAATGGTGAGCATTGATAATGGAGCTACTACTATTTTCCCAGTGTTTTCAGGAATTTAAAAGAAACTTTTTGTCAAAATACCAAAGTTTCTATTGTGTAGCGTGCATTTTTTTTCCATCATGAGAAATGCTGCTCTTTTTACATTAACCGTAGGGAATGCATGGCTGCTTGTGAAATTTTGTGAGCAAAGTTTTTGGAGCCGCTTAAATAGCAAGAGGCAGGCATTTATTTGTTTAGACAGATCTTACACCTCCACTGAGCTTTCCAGAGTCAAGGGCAGTGTCCTAATCATCGTCGTATTTCTTTTTGTCCTCAGTACCTGATGCAGTCAATAAATTAATGTCTGTTCAGTAATCGGATGCCATATTCGTATTTTCTCTCCCTCACCCTTCCCCCCCACCCCCTTCTCTAACAACTTTAGAAATTTAAGTCTAGGAACATTATCAGGTGTGCTTGCAGTTAGGGTAGACATAGTCTGGAAAAAGGACTGGTTTTCTCACACCCAGATTATTCCATGGTGAAAAAAAAGCTGTATATTATCCAGTAAAATGCTGTTCATTTGCATTGTTGTTTTTAAATTGCTAAGTTAAATTCTGTGTCTTCTTTTTTCCAGCCATCAAAAATAAGGATTAATTTAGAAGAAAATGTACAATATGTGTCCATGAGAAGTAAGTTGATTCTTGACTAGGTTTCAGGTGTTGTAGTTTGAACTTCCTTTATTCCTTTATTAAATTATCAGTAGTTTGAATGATTTAAATGATTTATTTTAAATGTACATGAGTTGGTGAGAAACTGCTTGTAAATAGTTTGCCGTGCGTCAGTGTCCAGAGTCAGTCAGAGGAGCTGGAACGCCCGCTCCTCTAGTCCCCCGTCCCTCGGAAGCCCTTATGCTGGAAGTCCTCACCCCGTCTCTGATTTCTCCTTAATTGGGTCCTGATCTCGTGGGATACATAGTGCATACATGCCCACGTGTAAGTCTTAACTTCTCCTCAGCCCCTGCCGCAGTCTCACCTGCATAGTTGGTCCCCAAGTTTTACCTTTGGAGTGCTCCTACGCCTGTCCCTTACCACCGACTTAAAATAATGTCTGACATTTATCGAGCTCATATGGTGCCTGCACTAAGCTCTTTGCATGGATTATCACAGTAGCCCTTCAAAATGTAGTTATGGATTATTGTTCATATTTCACAGATGAGTACACCGAGGCCCAGAGAGGCTCAGTAACTGGCTCAGGGTTCAGCCCCACACCTTTCTGACTTGAGCCCACAGTCTTAACTACCATCTTGGACCTCTCTTCCAGGTCCTCACTTTCTCAGATGGAGGGCGCGGGATCGTGTTGGCTGCTCCAGGCTCTTCCAGCAGCCGCTCCCCGTCTGTTGCCAGTGTGATTCTTCTAATTCAGGAATGAGATTATGATACCACTTAACCGAAAACTCCTCAGGGATGCTCTGTTACCTTAGAGACAACCCTGACTCCCCATTTATTTGGTTTTATTTATTTGTGTTAAATTTATAAGGCACCTTATATCCTTGAAAGAAACACGGCAGTAGGGACTGGACTGACAGACAGACAGGGCTCTGGAGGCCAGCGTTTCTTGTTTCCCTTTGCAGCCTTGTCCTCCAGCCACTCTGTGCCTATCTGTTGCTAAAACTGTACTAGCCGTGGACTCCCTGAAGGGGCCATGATCTCGGATGCCACGCTGTCATTTGGCATGTGCCCTCTGCTTTGTTTAAGCCTCTGGCCCTCCGTCAGTGGGAGAGCACCTTCCCGTTCATGTCCCTAGTCCGTGTTCCCAGCAACCCCCATGAGGACACCTTCCCCGTTTCCCACTACAGTTAAGGTTTGATTTCATCTTCTAAAGTGACTTTGAATACCTCTCGAAGCACTTTCTCAGAGTATAGTAATAGAATTTCCTTCCTAAACTGTGGAACGTGGTCTAGTTTGAAGACCTTTTCAATCGTTACATTTCTCAGCAACTATCATGTTATAGGTGTTCAATTAATATGTTCTTTACAAAATGACTAACGTGATAGGACTCTACTTACCCTAAGCTTATAAGACCATGTCCTGTTAGTAACTTAGTATAATTAAATGTATGCTTTTTAAAGTTAGAATTTCTCATTTGTAATCTTCCAGGGTTTATTGTAGAATTGTGGCTTTCTTCTACCTCCAGTTTAAAAAAGAATCACGCTTGTTTAGTCTTGTTTAATCTTAAGTATAGGATCCATCTTCTGTGAAGACATTTATGCTATAAGATAGTACTTTTGTTCTTGGAATAATTACCAGTGGTCTTTAACCTGAATGCTGCATTGCAGAGGTTCTGGATAAGGGCATTTGTGAGTGAAGATAGGGTGAGGATTTCTTTTGGAGCATGCCAACTGTGGCATGCTGCGGGAGTAGAGAGGAAGGGGAATCGTACACTCCACACTAGGAGGACAGCTGAGTTATTCGCAAGTTCATTTCCTCTGCACACCAAACCGTAAGGACTTTTTTTTTTGGTCTCAAATTGGGAAAGATGAAAAGAATGATAATATTTACTTCTGGCAAGGCCTGAGATGAGGCCCTCATACACTGCGCAAAATTGGTAGAATCCACAGCCTGGAGAGCAGGTTTAGCAATACGTACCAAAATTCCTTTAAAAATGCCCTTTTACTCAGCAATTCCAGATCTTAGAATTTATCTAAAGGAAATAATTAAAGAAGGGTGCAGAAGTTTAAACAAGGAAATTTGTTGAAGTCTTGTGCAAAATTGTGCAGTCACAGGCAATCTAAATTTCCAGTACTGGGTAAGTTAGTATATGTTACATGCAGGTAAATATTATGCAGTCATTAAGGAAAAAAGACCCTTTTTTCCTCGTTTTATTGAGAAGTAATTGGCATTCGTCACTGTATAAATTCAGGGTGCACAGCAGGATGGCTTTACCTATGACCTGAAGCGATTACCGCGGTAGGTCCAGTTAGCATCCGCCATCACGCAGGTGCAGCAAAGGGGAAGCGACAACTTCTCGTGACGAGAACTCGCAGGGTCTACAGTCTTGACCTCTCACGCCCGCCGTCCAGCAGCGTTGCGTCGTCGGCATGCTGCACACCACATTTCCAGCAGAAATACATTTGTTGACAAGTCGGGATGTTCACAGTGTTGAGTTAAAAACAGCATGTTAAAAAATAGGATATTCCTGTTTTTGTTTTCAGAAGTTATATATACATATTGGCACAAACGTGTATGTGTGGAGGGGGCAGAGTGTGTATGAAAAACCAAAATCATCATATTGGGTAGGTGAGTGAGGACATTAAAGAGATTTGAGATTTTCACCCCTTCATTTGCCTGTTAATATAAGGTAGTGAATATTTTTAAAAATAGGTATGCCGTTTTTCCTCAAGATATGTGATAATTGTCCTAATAGAAGACTACTTTGAGTGCTTTCAAAAACTTCATCAGACAGGGTTACACCGTGACATGCTTAGAAACATTTGAAACATGAAAAAGCGCCAAGTCTCTGCCTTTGCTTTATAAAGAATTCTTTCTTTCTTTTTTAAAAAAGAAATTATTAAAATTATTGGGGTGATATTGCTTAATAAAATCAAATAGGTTTCAAGCACATAAAGAATTTCTTAACTTGAAGACCAAATGAGAAATTTAATTTTAAAAATCATTTCTGATCATAATCTTGAAAGTGATGTGGATACAAATGCGAATTCTCACTTTATATCTGATAAGATGCACTAGGGCTCCCAAAATTCATATGTTCGGTAAAAACTGGTCACGTGTTTCAAATACTCATTTAAGTCTAAAGCTTTTGTTTACTTGGCCAAGGCTGATAAACTTTTATTCGTTTGAGAGATCTATTTCATAAAGGTTAGCTGTGACTTGGTCAGTATATAGAATTTCTGTAGGTGTCTGTGCTTACTGATCAAGAGGAAATAAAGAATTTGTTAACGAGTTCAGAAAGAAACGCTGTTTAAAATTTTATAAATGTGTTGGTTTTGTTTCCCAGAAGCTCTAAAAGTGAAGACACCGCGTTTCGATGTATCATTGGTTTATTTAACGCGAAAATTTATGGATCTTGTCAGAAATGCTCCTGGGGGTATTCTTGACTTAAACAAGGTTGCAACGAAACTGGGAGTACGAAAACGCAGAGTGTACGACATCACCAACGTCCTGGACGGAATCCGGCTGGTCGAAAAGAAATCCAAGAACCATATTCGATGGATGTGAGTTGTGGTCTCAAACTTTTTGTGACTTTTTTTCCTTTTCCTCAAGTGATGATACCATGCTTAAAACAAACTAAATATCAGCGATGTTTTAACAGTATAAGACAGAGTAAGATGTGACTTCTTGTTAGAAAAGGGTTCTATAAAATTTGTCCAAAGCCATGCTGTGAGGAGCAGCGCTAGGGCTTATGGTGGCATTATTACTCAGTCAGTCATTCTTTCATTAAGCTTTCCCTGCTGATCAGGCTTCATTATTCATTAAGCTTTCCCTGCTCCTGTTAAGTTTTGTAGGGTTACGATGTATGTTTTTTTAAAAGTCCCTGTGTAAGGGACTAGAAAAGGGGACAAAAATCAGTTTATATACAGGAAGAATAATGATCACCTAGAATAATGGGAGAGCAGAAGCAAAGTCAGAGTACCTAGTTTTTGTCTGTCATCATGAGAAAGACTGGATGCGAATGTCTGGAGAAGTTCCAGTAACCTGACCTGTATTGTTCTGTGTCTTTTTCTTTAATACTTCTAAAGAGGATCCGATCTCAACAATTTTGGAGCCATGCCCCAACAGAAGAAGCTGCAGGAGGAACTTTCCAACTTATCGGCGATGGAAGATGCTCTGGATGAGTTAATTAAGGATTGTGCTCAGCAGTTATTTGATTTAACAGATGACAAAGAAAATGAAAGATATCCTTTAACTCTGTACCCTGTTTCTTCTTCCAAAGCAGGTTACTTTACACAGTAGAATCAGCTCGGGGATTTAATTAATATGTTTAAGAACCAAAGTTAGACTTTGATAAGTTAAACTCAGTAAAAGTTTAGTAGTATGGCCTCGACACACTCAGGTAACACATCATAGCCTTCAGCTCCTTGGTGTGGCATTTGTCCAGGTAAATGCCGCATCCAGGTAAATGAGCAGTGCGGTGATGTACCAAGGTTAGCGTCTGCATCTAAAGCTAAATGGGTGGAGCCTTCTTGTTCATGTTCATAGTGTGAATACTATAAAGACGGTAAAATATTTGTTGGCTTTTGTGAAATTCATGTTGGCCCTAATTAACTAAATTTTATTTCTGAAACAATGACTGGCCATTAAATGGCACGTAAAATGCCATGTTAGCCCCCAAAGCCTAACGCAGCCGCATGTCAGTACTGCTACAGGGACCAGAGGGAGAGACTTATCTCTGCAGCTGATCTTCTCCCCATCTCTGGGACCGTTTGCTGCTGCATCACCCTTGTGAGGTGTCACTAATTCTGAACTGTGACACTGATTAACAAAATCCAACAAGTTTCAAGTGTATAATTCAACAGTAAGTCATATATATATTGCATTATGTGTTCACCGCCCATTTCTTTCCGTCACCACGTATTTAATGCTTTTCTTGTCTGTATCCCATAAAAACTAAAGCTGTTCTAATAGTGCACGTGCATCCCTGTGTTACAAGGATACGTTGTCTTCCCAATGAGCACCACTCTGCTTAGAGGTCCTTGACTCATTTTTACACTGGCATATGTGACATATCAAGATATTCATAGCATTCAGGCCTTCCATGAACAGATTGTTATTGCAGTTAAAGCTCCAGCTGAAACCAGATTGGATGTTCCAGCCCCCAGAGAAGTAGGTAACCCTGCATTTTTAGAAGATTTAAAGAGGAGGCGGGCCACTTGCTTCAGCTGTACTTCATTGCGGTCCCAGTAACTCTAATTCACAGAGCTGCATACCTGGTACTGCTCAAGGCACTGTACACGTTTTAACTTGCTTCGGATAACACAGGAAGCAAAGCAGTCATGATCATTACCCTTTTAAAGATAAGGATTCTGGAGCACAAAAAGATTAATTTCCTCATGACCACACAATAAGAGACAGAAAGAGAATTCAAACCCAGAGAGTTTGGCATCAGAGTTTATTCTTAACCATTGGACTATGGCGCCTGTTAGAGGAATCGCCAAGACTTGGCCTCAGTCTTGTACCTCCAAACGAAGATCTGATGTCAGCCAAGGCTCGAGGGAAGGACTAACCGAACTCATAAGCTGATGAGTAAACTAGAACACCAAGTCATGCATATAAGATGAAAAGTAAAATTGCTCTGT